AGGACTCTTTGTTGCTTTTTACAGATCCAGACTAACACCGCTACCCCTCTGATACATAACACATCATGTTCAACATGATTACAATCCTCAGCACACCATAGAGGCATGTATTATTCCAATTTTACAGACAGGGATGTTGAGGCAGAGAGATTCAATGACATGTCAGAATCTAAGGCCAGAAGGGACCATTATGCTCATTTTGTCTGATATCCTGCATATCATAGGCTATTGAATTTCACCCAGTAATTCCTGCCTCAAGACTATAACTTCTAGTTGAGCTGGACACGTCAACCATGAATCTAGTGGGAAAGCCAGAAGTACAATTCAGAATTTCCTGATCTCTGGCATGAACCATTGAATCATATTGGTCTCTGATTCTTAAAACAGAAGGAATTTAAATTAGATCCCTATCCCACAATGAGCTCCACATGTCAAGACTGGATGTTTTTCTAAAAGATATGCTCTAGCACAACCAGGAGTCATGGGCTTGATGAAGGAATCACTTGGTGAAATCTTATGGTCTGTATAAAATGGAGATCAGATTAGGTTATCATAATTGTCCCTTCTTGACTTAAATTCCACAAAGCTATGAATGGATGGGGAGATTCTCATGCCCTGACATAGCCCCATTGCAGCTCCATGGAGCTTATTGCAGAATCGAGGTCTTGTTTTTCACCATTTATGTTTGTTTAGGTTTTGCATTTCCATCAGCTTGGATAATAAAAGCAGATTCGTCATTTTTGCTTGCTGGTTCTCCTGCACTTGCACAGCTACTGCAATGTTTATATTACAGACACTGTCATAAAAGGTTTAAATCCAAACATGCCATGATCCTACCAGCTGATCAGATCTCTGCACCTGCACGGAGTCCCACTGAAGTCAGTGGGACTTGAGGTGGCCCAAAGGTCCATGCCTGTGGAACAGCTTGCAGGGTCGGGGGCAACAGTTTTCACTGAAGTCTGAACAAAACAATGAAAACATTTCTATTAATTTTTGTGGGGAAAAAAATCAATAATTCAGTCTTGACCCTAAAGGACCTGGTAGTATCCTAAGAAGTTACAAAATTAAGGCTCCAATTCTGCAATTATATCTGCATGGTTGTCAGTGCAAGGACCTAGCTCCCACAGAGCTGACTTCTGAACTGGGGCCTTAATCTTGAAAAGTGATTTTGAGAGGCATTTGCAAGAGAATCTTTGAAAAGGAGTTATTGTTACTGAACAGATATTGTGTATGCATGTATACAAGCTAACCTTAAATGGGATATTAGCCACTCAGTTTTTTAAACCTCCAGCAGAGATTTGTGGATGATAAAATATTACGTAAGATGCAAAGTGGAGTCTCTCAAGTAAGATAGACACCCAAAGCTGATTGATAATCGTACACAACATTTTGGTGATGCAATTGAAAAATATCATAATTAGAATTTCACTAAATTAAAGGGCTGGAAAATTTTCTTTAATTTTATCCTTCATTTTTTACAGCAACAGTAAAATAAAGCTTGCTACTTAGGCACAATAAAATAATTTTATTAATCAATAATTACGTTAAAAACAGCAACAAATAATGAATGCTATTTAGTCAATATAAAAGATCTACAATACAAGGGACAGTTACCTCTTAATGCATCATGAAAGGGATACGGCCATAATCATCATCAATTAATTGTTAAGTAACAACATCATTCTCAGTACTGTACAGACATAAACAAAGACAGTTGCCTCCTAATGAATTTACAGGGCAATGTTCTGAACCTGCAATTTGTTCTGGACAGGTGAACCACTGTGCCTGTGTGGACTCACATTGACTTCAGTGGGTCTCCACGTGAGTACAAAGGTTCGCCTGTACGTAATAAGTTGCAAGATTGTGCCCTAAGGCTCTGATCCCATGAACACTTACACATACGCTTAATTTTTTACACACGTGTGCCCCAATTCGGCAAACACTTACACACATGCTTAACTTTACTACAATGAGTCTTACACCCTTACCTGCAGCGAGTTCTGCATGGAAGATCTGTGCGCGCACACAGTCATGTTGATTTAAGTGAAGATCCACCATACACGAAACTCATGGCAGTGTTAGGGCATAATTCATACAGTTAAACATGCATGTGAATTTGTGCAGGATTGGGGTAAAAGGCATTTAAGTCAATGGTAAAGAGAACCCATGTGGAGCAGCTCACTGGATTGAGGCCTAAAACATAGACACAGAGAAGCTAGGATGCCCTGGGAAAGCCAGAAGAAGTAATTTAACTTTTATTAATAAAAATATTAGAAATAACAATTTATTAAAGATAGACTTATCTTTACTTCTGCCTTAGCATCTGAAATTCTTAGAACAAGGAACTTTTCAAATCTAATTTTGCTCTACTTTCTCTTTAGTTTTTACTTACTTTCCCTTGTACATTTGCATTTTCTAGTGATATTATTATTTAGCAAAAAAACAAAACAAAACGCGGAGTCCTTGTGGCACCTTAGAGACTAACAAATGTATTTGGGCTGTAGGGGGGCCCGGGGGTTGTTTAAATTACAATATTATTGGCTGAAATTTAAAATTGCATGAAGACTTTTTTTTAAAACAACCTCCAAATTTGGGATTTGATCAAGCTGAAAGTGCTGCAGTATGCGATGCAATATTCAATACAACACACAATCTGTTCAGTACACTTGTCAGATAGCATTCAGTGGTGTATATTGTTAGTCGTTAATTGGATGTGTAAAATTAATTAAATAATCCACAAATAAATTACTTAATATGCTATTGTGTGGTGACTGTTAGTAGATAATACATGGTTGAGTATGGTTTGTTAGGGATAGCAGCCAAAAAGAATGATTAAGCAGAGAAAGTAATTGTAACACACACACAACAATGTTCATTGTTTACAAGGTCAGCCCAGCTACAAGGGGCTTGGCTAGAGGGAGTTTCCCATATTAGTTTTCCTGGTATGAGGTCATGGCAGGGAAGATTCAAATAATATACAGGAAGCAACAAGGTCCTAATCTTGTATGCACATATGCATGCAAGTAACTATCCACATGAGCAAGCCTACTGAATTGATTAGTACACATGCGTAGTCCCATACTCATGCATAAATGTTCGCATGATCGGCACCAAATCATCTACCCATAGACAGCTCAATTGATTGTATCTGCTCTGGTGTCTACTGTCTAGGATGACCAGATAGCAAGTGAAAAAAAATCGGGATGGGGTGGGAGGTAATAGGAGCCCATATAAAAAAAGCCCCAAATATCAGGACTGTCCCTATAAAATCAGGACATCTGGTCACCCTACTACTGTCTAGCCACTTAAACACCAGCTATGAAAGTCACTATACAAGAGCAGAGCTGAAAAGAGTCCTGGATACTAGTTTTGCTAAGAAGCAGGAGCAAGCAAAGGGTGATCAAGGACAGTGGATGTGCCACCAAAAGTGACTTTAGGCTCCCTATGTTGTCTTAGGCTGCCTATTTTCCCAGTAGACTACACTGTGTTTGAACCTATCCAATTCAAATGTTTTATTTCAACTGTATTTTACCTTTGGGGATCTCTTAAATTAAGGGACTTTTCAATCAGGCTTAGGAGGATGAGTTTTTAAATCACCCATTGGTGGTTATGGGGGCATGAAAGTAACCCCAACTTTTAATAAATCATTTTTCTAAAATAAACCCATACAGTAGAATGTATTATTCCTCTTACCTGATGTAGCATTCCCTCAGTATATGCCCTATTGCTGTGCTAGTACAGCTGGGTCTTTGATTTCCCTAGGGGGAGGGAGGCTGGCTGCTCTC